CATGAAAAAGATGAGAAACAGTGAGAGATTCATGCTAAAAGTCTCTCAAATGAGAAATTCATGTGTAATGTTTTTATTTTATTAGTTTTTTATGTTTTAAAATAAAAATTTATAACATAACTAAAGTATAAGAAAATTATACTTATAATTTGTCATAATTTATAAATCCAGATGATAAAAGAAAAAAAAACTAAATGATTCTAAAACTAATACTAATATTATATTAATGAGAAGCTTGTAACTTGTAAGAGTATTTCATCGAGATACGGACAATAAATTCTCAAACCCCGCATATTTATGGCAGAGCTTGAACCGGGCCGGTTTAACTAGTTTTCTCTAAAGAAAAAAAATTCAGAACCGACAATGAATTCTCAAAAAAATTATTTCTGGGTTTTAGAGATTTTCTCAAACTTAAATCAGGCTGAAGATTCCGCGATTCGCAATTCGATTTCAACTTTTATTTTCTGGGTTTTCGAGGTATGTGACTCTTCTCTCGCTCTCGGTTCTGTATCATTTAGATTATCTGTGTAATTGTGTTGGTTTCTGTTTCTTCTCTATCAATTGGATTGTCTTACCTTCTCTATCAATTAAGTTATCTGTGCATATGTTAAGGTTAGTGGTATGTGATTCGTCACCTGTAGTAGCGAAATTCATAATCAATTTGTATAATTTCAGATTAACGAGAACCAAAATTTCAGATTAATATAACGAAATCATTTATCTGATATATCAGATTTTGATATATCAATTAGAATATCAAAATCTAATACTGAGCTAATTGAAACGGCTGAAAACCCCTGTTTGAAATATAAGTGACGTCGGTATAAACCGTAGTTAGACGATGCGTGCTCTATTTCACCAGACTTGATCGAGAGGACTCGGGTGATCAAGTCCGGTGAAATAGAGCACGCATCGCCTAACTTTCAAAAAATTAGAATGAAAGTTCTCTTCTCCTTCGTGTCTGAAAATAAAAAGGTCACCGGCGAGCCTGTTTCCAACCAATTTCACTTTCCAGATTCTGTCCGATCTTAGCAACACTCTTGTGTGGCTCCTTAAGAACTCATCATCAAGCGTCTACAACCAACAAAACTAAAAAAGAAAAACAGTTTTTTTGTTTTTGTTTTTTACTCTGTTTCTCTTAATCGGTTTGCTGATTTTGTGGCTTGATTCTTGTAGTGACAATTTAGCCTTCAAAATTCATGATATAATTGGTACGTTATTTAGAATCAAATCCTCTTCTTTAACTATTGGATCCATATTTTTAAATAGGCCAAAACACAAAATATTTGTTAAGGTAGTTTTAGCTTTTAGATAGACCTAACAAAAGGTAGCTTAGCAGAGTACTACCATGAGCCTTGGTAAACCTTTTTATTGCTTCTAACTTCAACCATCGTTCCACTCTTAAACACTTTCTCTGCTCTCTCTCAAGGTTTCAAATCCAGCCTTTTCGACAATAACACATAAAATTTATTATCCCTGTTTATTTTTGTAAAACATTTTATCACAAATCTGCATATATGCGGGTCGTTTACCTACTTTTATATATTATCGAACTACTAGATTTTGACCCATGCCAAGCGTGGAATTAAATGATTGTATATGTTTTTAATCGATTTTAATATTTAAATGTGTATTCATAGTGGATAAATGTAATAAAGAAAATTTTTGATCCAGCATATTTTGATGCCATTAGTTTTAATACTTTTATGTGTAAAATTGATCAAAATATATGAAAATGTTATTTATTTTAATATATTTTAAGTGTAAAATTAATTTTTATTAGGGAAATTGGCAAATATAACCAAGAAAAAAAAACATAACTTAATTACTAACCAAAACCCCCTATGTGGCAAAATCATACCCATAAGATTTAGGGGTTTTGGTTAGATTTTAAGTTATGTTTTTTTTCTTGGTTATTAACCAAATTAACCCTTTTTATTATTCGTATAAATTATAGATCATGCGATAAATCAGATAAATAATTGAAAAGAGAAAGCTAATTCAATTAGGAACAGAAAAAACTAATTTAATAGGGAATGTGTGACAAATTTAAGAG